AGTGTCTTGAAGTCATATATAATACTATATTTTAGAATAAAACAAAACAAGTTAGTTTAAATTGGCTCCACCTCGATCACATTTAAGGCTGATCGATACTCGCGTGTCTCACTTTCAGGGTAAAATCACGACAGCAATCAATCTTTCAGACCTGAAATGTTTCACTTTCAGCGCGGCACAAGTCTGAACTGCATTCAGTTGCACAGACGACACACTTGACGAAGGCGAACGTGCCAAAAAGATTCAGAATCCTAAAAACACCTCCTTCCTCTGAAGTATAGTTGCTTGCTTCCAGCTGTTTTGGAGTCTTTCCTCTGAGCTTATTAAAAACCTGCAGCAGGATCCATATGAGTGCACATTAACTACTCATAATTCTAAATCTGTTGTGAAATTGTGGATCCCAACTGGGCGCAGAGATCCCATAAAACCTGTTTGTAAGCTTTGACACATTTCTGACGGCTGGTTGGTGTCTCCGTCGGCAGCATTTGTTTTGGCTTGTTAACTTGGGAACGCTGTCTGCATGGTAAAGCCGAGGACGCGCTGCTGTCAGCTCTGGATGTCTCATCCCTGAGGTCCATCCCGGCTCTCTGTGCATCTCCTTTCTCAGTTTCACTATTGTGTCTCTTGTGAGAATTTGGTGTGCAGGCCGACCGTCAGAGGTCTGCTGCAAAACTCTTATTTTATCAGACTATCGGTCTGTTTCAGCAATGATTGTGGAGCCTGTTTGGCCTGCAGTGTGCTAACTGTGGCTCTTCTAATGTGGTTGAGAGTGGAAGGAAGTGGAATGAAAGAAAAGAAGCTTGTCAGACGGGGGGCTGTGATGAGATGGAGTCAGCGTGGCTCCTGTCGGCCATATGGTAAATCCATCTGCCCTTCCTCGGCCAAGGCACAAAAAGTTATGCAGGACATTAGCCCAACGTGTCCTCAACAAGCTCCTCTTGTCACTTTCTGTCCGATTGCGTTACGCAAACAGGCCCAGACGACAGCGGTGAGCGATCGGCAAAACTAAAGCTCACGGGCCGAGAACGCCGTGTTCCCGGGCGCCACGTGGCCGATAAATCTTGCACTTCTTCTCGACAGTGTGGGTTTGTGGAGAAGGATGTGCGATGCTGACTTGCACATGCAAAAAAAAACAAAATAAAGAAAACACCATATGTTTCTCCCTCCTGTGTTCTTGGACACCTTTGCAGCTCCACCTGCACCTCGGGGCCGCCGAGGTTCCACCCAAGCAGCGTTTGTGTTGACGGTGCAGAGTTCAGCGTTACAGCACATTTCAACTGTGAGGGCTGAAAAAAACCAGAGAGAAAGCAGTGTTGTTGTACTATCTGCTGCATTTTGCATTGTTGTATACTTTATATTATAGTGCATTAAGAATTAGTTGTTTAACTGACAAGTGGAAGAACAGAATTTTATGATAATCACACCAAAATGTGAGCTTTTGCAGCTTTTCTCAGTCTCAGTGACGCTGTTTTGCTTTTTACCTTTGAATATTATCCCGTGCATATGGAGTAGTGAGAGTGCCAAATTACAAAAATAAATCAGTAAAAGAATAGTAAGAGTGGAAATAAAAAGAAGAATAAATAAGATAAAAATAAGTAATGTGGCAATATAAAACAATATTAATCAAATGAATCCATAAAGAAAAGGCTAATAAAAATAGAAATATAAAGAAAAATAAATAACCTAAAATTATTTTTTAATGTATTTCGATTTATTTTTTATTATTTAAAAAAAATAAAATCTTTTTTTTTCCATTTTATTTTATTTTTTTATTTATATTTTTTTCATTTTTATTATTTTTTTAAAAAAAATTATCTGCAGAGTGGGTTAAATCTTTGAAAATAAAAATGTTAAATGTCTCATTTCGTTCTCATTTTCAAACTGTCGATTAAATTATGACAACAAATGCTAACATTTGCTAATTGGCACCAAACTGGGCAAACAATGATCCCATTAGTTCTGCAAATGACTCCACTTTGACCTGAATATTAAACGACTATGTTAAATATAAAGGCATCGGTAAAGGTCTTACATTTCATCCCAGAGGTGGATCAGTGTCTGTGGAGGATTTTGTGACAAACTACCCAATGTGTTCAGAATATTTAGATTAAAACGACTAGAGGGGAAGTGAAGGGAGTCATCAGTAGAGCTGTGTGATGTTGGAAGAAACTGACAGTACAGATTTTTGTTTTTCTGCAGAGTTTTTATACTGCAATTTAAAAAAATAGAGGAATCAGTAAATAATGTTTTTTCAGACAGATTTGTCTTGTAGATGGAAAATAGCAGTCGAGTATGTTTTCTTTTGTAAAAAGCAGCAAAAAATGAATTTTAATTAGTTCACATTGAACTTTATGCTGTTTGACTTCAGTGGACGTTGCAGTGCTGATGTTGGAATCATATATTGTGCAGCCCTAGTGTCACTATTAGTGTCAAATTTCATGACAAAATTTTTGGAAGTATTTCAGTCGAAGCCATAAACACTACTGATGACTTCTTTACTTTGCCTCTGGTGGCATCATGAGGTTTAAATGTGTTGTTTCCATCGAAATATTCAGGAAACATTGTGCGGTTTGTCACGAAATCTTCCATAGATGCACCTCAAAAGTGAATTGTAAGAACTTTGCTTTGCAGGTTTCATCCTCTTGGGGCCACAAATGAATCCGAATCCATCCATTCCAGCTTCTTGAATGTGCAGATTTGCAGCTTTTCTCCGTCACTGCGCCTTAGAGTTTTTAATACAGTGGACAGGGGGCGCTGTTTTGCTTATTGTAGTTGAATATCGTCCGCTGTCGAGCAGGTTGAATCTCAGAAAATGAAATGTCAAACGTCTGTTTCATTCTCATTTTCAAATTGTTCAAAAACTACTTTTCATTTCGGCTCCAAAGCAGCGAGGTTAGCATGTAAATGTAAAACACCGGAGGCTTGTTTCATTCGAACAGGCAGGTTATTTATTTGAAAATGAAATGTCAAACGTGCTTTATGCTCTCATTTTAACAGGGTCACAGAACGGACATAGCGGTGAAAATGGAAATTGGATGATTGCATTTTAGACTCTGTTTAAATTATTATCTGAATAAAGTCTGCGGCGCGCCTCCATAACTCAGTTTTAAATAATTTAACATCTCCGTCAGGATTTCTCTTTCAGGTTTCCAAATCTTTGTGTTGCTGCGGAGCTCGGATCTTGTGTGGTGATGATGTGACCTGCAGGAGGAAGATGAGGGGAGGATTTGAGGGGGTTGGGAGGTAAAGGTTGAGGAGAGGGGCAGCGGGATGGGGGTGGTGGCAGCTTTTAGGGTTGGGGGTGTTTGCATGAGCTGCCAAAAGGAGGATTTTCTTTATGAAGCTGGAGCTGGGAGTGACGCTCTGCAGGTTGGATATGGGATTAAAAATAAAAACCAGGGGTCTCCCTGTGGCCCGGAGCCAACTTCATGTTACTAAACCTGGACCGGTTCATTCTACATGCACGGAGAGAAAAGCGTGTTATCCCTCCCTGCTTTATATTCATGAGCCGGCGGTCTGAGGTACCATCTCCCCTGGCAACCACAGGCCCCGCCCCCTCCCCCTGCCCGCCTCCCTCCGACATATGAAAGCCATCTGTGAGCAGCCTTAATCTCCCTGCCGAGTCTGTGTGTTTGTGAGCTGAGATTATTAGCCGGGAGTGATGATGTGGGGGGAACAAAGGAGCCTCGGTCAAGAGAAAGGCTTCATCCGGGGCAGTTAACTCGGCCGCTCCGGTGCATGCGCCCTAAGTAAAACAAAAGCGGCCGTTTAATTGAGCCCTTATTAATCAACAGCCACTAAACTCTGGAGTGTCGCATCAAAAGAAGGGATCGGTTCCAATTACGACCGCTGCTGTTCATTCAGACGCTCGCCACATCAGAGATAAGCTGGTTTTAAACAGAATGCACACTTTGGTTTGTGTCTAGAGACGGAGTGACTTCAATATCTGCTCACAGTTCAGGGCAAGAGTGGCTTTAACCCTCTGAACCCCAATAATGGGTGTGAAAGGCCTGTTTTCTTCACAAAATCACCAAAATTATACCATTTACCAAAGACAGGAACTGTAAAAACAGAAAAAATAATTACGTATTATATTGTTTGTTATCATTATGTTTGCTTCCATCTGGAAAATCGACCAAATCGAGGCTTAAAATCATCAAAATCTCAATATTCTACTCGTCATGTTTAAAAATTCACCAAAAAATCAGCTGTTTGCCTGAACTACAGTCTGTAAGAAAACAAAAAATGTTCTCGATGCAAATCCTTACTGACAGTCATGAGATGAAAATTGAAGTATTTTCAGGTGGACTGTTTGTACATGTGCTTGAAGCTAAGACAGTATTTTTATTTCCTTTAACCCTCTGAACCCCAATAACCCGCTGATGGCCTGTTTTCTTTACAAATCACAAAAACTACAACATTTACAGAAAAAAATATCTGATTTACACCTTTTGCTGCAGTGATTGATTGGTTATGTTTGATTCCATCTAGAAAGTCATTCAAATCTGAGCCTAAAAATCGTGATAGTTCATCCAAATCTCATTATTCTGCGCATCAGGTGTAAAAAATTCACCCAAAAATAAGTCGCTTGCACGAAGTAGAGTCTGTAAAAAACAAAAAATGTTCACCGATGAAAAAGAGAAACCGTTACCGACAGTCATGAGACATTAATTCTGTATTTTCGGGTGAACTGAGCTGAGTTCAGTGTTTCCTTATACAGCATGTAGGTGACGAGGTCAAGAAAGACGGGCACTAAGTCGTATTATTTTCCTGCATCCGTTATGTTTGTTAGCTATTTAGCTGATCAGCTATAAGGTCAAACTAAAAATGACAACCCTTCTGTGGTTGCCAGCATTTTTCATTTTATATAAACATAAATGGATATTAAGATATATATGAAGCAAAGGTGTGATGCTGCTTTTCCACTATTTTCTGATAAATTAATTGATAAAAGATTAAACATTTCTTAATAACTTTTAAAGACGACCCGTCTGAGAAACAACCTCCCAGAAGTGATTTCTGAATTTATCTATTAAATTGGAAACATGAAGCTTAAACCATCACCAGAGCAGATGGTTTAAAAGTTAAAATGATGCTAATTTCCCTGTTTTTTTTTGGCGAGGATGAACAAATTACTCACGAGTTCTTGCAGTATAAACAGATCAGACGTTTCTAGCTGCCATTAAGCGTATATGAAGCAGCTGTTAAATTGCTTTTCCCTGCATGTACTTGAAGGCACGCACACTTTGATTATTTTGTGATTATGTTTTATTGAAAACAAAAAGGTAACAGTGTAAAAAAAAAAAAACATGTTCCTTTGACTATTTCGTTGATCTCATAATAACATAAAAACGCTGATCAGGGCTGGAAATGCAAAAAAAAAAAAACAGATAAAGGCAACAATCTGAATTTGGCTGAAACTTCACATTGCGTCACATTTCCAGCGAAGTTAGCAAACGAAACACTGCAGACGTTTTATCTGCTCGATCAGCGGACAAGAAGCCACAATTATAACAAAATTCTACATCAAAATCACTTTTGTACACCAGATTTAACAGCGAACGTCATCCGTGACATTAAAGTGTTTGTTACAGTAAATGATTAATGTGTTAGACGCAATAGAAAAAACAAAACAAACACTCGATACAATTAGAGAGCAAAGGCAATGTAAACTGGCACCGCGTTCACGCAAATTAGTGCATTAAAAATATATATAACAGCTGCTCTTCACAGGGCACCGCGACACTATTAACAATTCAACGACAGACAGTACAAACAGGTGAGTCAGTAGCCGTGATTCCATTTAACCGTTTATCGAAGCGAACCTCTGAAATCTGATCTGAGAGAGAGAAAATGTAGAGAGGTGCTCAGGAATCTGGAAAGCTGTTGTGATTCTGTCACGTCAGGTGTCGGACATGTTTTATGGCAACTGTAGAAGGTGTTTCTGTCAGAAAAAAAAAGTTTTTTCTATTATCCATTAACTTTCTCCTCATACAATACTTTAAAATGTGCATTAATAATAAATAATGGAAACGCGGCTCGCTAGTTAGTAGTTTTAACTCAGGATCACAGGATATAAAGTCAGTGTTAACCTAGTGTTATATTTACAGTATCTAAGAGACACCGGGGCCTGAGTAACAGGACTAAAAAGTGGCGTAATAATCAGTGTGTGAGTACAAGCAGGCCCTCATGTTTAGTAGTGACAACAGAAATACTTCCATAGTTTAGTTATTTGCAAATGAAGGCAACAAAAAATGTAACAGAAAATAGTCGTCGTGCCGACAATCTGTGTTTCTTCAGCGGAATGTCAAGACTGTGGATTTACGGTAACCCTCTGAACCGCAAAAACCCGCCAGCAGGTTTAAAAGGCGTGTTGTTGTTGTTGTTGTTTTATATGACACCGTTTATCAGCACCAGAAACTGTTAAAAAAAAACAGAATTGATGGATTTTCAGCTTTCAGACGAGAAAACGAACCACAACGTAGTCTAAAATGATCAGATGTCGTCAAACGACTTGTCCTATTTAAAAACTGGCCAGAAACAAATTCAAAATAATTTGCTTTTCAGATTCTGGACTCTTCAGCGCAACCTGGAAACTATTAGTGACTCACTATAACAAACAGTCACGTTTCAGCTGAACTGCAGGCAGAAGCAGAAGTCTGGAAACAAATGAAAAATCTAAGCAGCAAAATTTTGAAAAAGTATTTTGAGTGAGAATTTTTTAGCAGTATTGTAATAGCTGTGAGAAAATGTCTGACATTTTAATTCCAAGTTGTTGTTTTTTTAACATTTTGTAAAATTAGATCAAGGAAATTCTATTTTTTTTGTCCATTTTTGTGATTTCTGCCATTTTAACTAAGTCATACTGCACAGGAGACATTTCTGAGTTTCCCACGTTGTCGTCATGGTTGTGCTGGTTCCACAAAAGGTGCAGGACTCGGAGTTCAGAGGCTTAAACCACCTATGAAACGTAGCTGTAGTTAGTAAGTTGGTCCGTCGGCCACGTCAGCGAGTGAGGAATCACCATGTCGTGGTCCTGCTCTGCTGGTAAAACAGTGAAACGAGCCCGCTGGTTGAGGCGTCTTTCGGTATTTTTGGCTGTGAATTAAGTTTCCTTCCTTTCCACCGCAGTAAGCCGAACACAGAGTCTGCACTTGTGCTTCAGTAATCATGATATAACAGAACATCTTATCCTTCATAAAGTAGCTCCAGGGTAGTTTTGACAGACTCTCAGCTTCTATATTCAGCAATTTGCAGACCTGATCTGCCTGAAAGAATTTCTGAAACTATCACTCCGGAGCCTGCAAATGGCTCTCATGTTATTAACGTTCGTACATCACAGTCTATTAGTTTTATCAGTGGTGAACTCTACGGAGGCTCATGGACAGAAGCCTTCGATGTGCTGAGGTTACCGGACTCTCTCACTGCGACTGGGTCAGCACGGGAATGTCGATCTCTATGGCTGACATCCGGGAGCGGGTGGAGTAGCGCTGGCCGGCGTAGCTGGAGGCGTAGCCCTGAGAGGGAGCGTAACTCTGGGATGGAGCGTAACTCTGGGATGGAGCGTAACTCTGGGAGGGGGCGTAACTCTGGGAGGGGGCGTAGCTTTGGGAGGGGGCGTAGCTGTAGGCCTGCGTCCCTCCAACCTCTGATCCGTACCCGTCCGGAGCAGAAAGCTGAGACATGTACACCTGTGGAGGAGCCGGGGCGACCACACTTTGAGCGTAACCCTGCGAGGGCACAAAAGGCTGGGCGTCGATCACCGTGGGAGGAAACGTCTGCGGCGGGAACGGCTGCGGTCCGTAAACTGGGGAAGGAGGAAACCCGTTAGCCGTTAGCGGCTGGGTGGACAGAGAGTTGGACATGGAGGGAAGAGGCAACCAGAAGGGCGAGGGCAGCTTCTTACACATGCAGTACCACATGAACATGAGCAGCGACGCCAGCATCAGGCCTCCGGAGCAGCCAATAGACACGTACACGGCGAAGCCATCGGAGAAAATGTGGTCGTATCTGATGTTCAGCTCCTTGGTGCGGAACAGGAACCACACGGAGGGCGCCATGGCGATGGCTCCGCCCAGGAACAGGAACATCCCGGCCACCAGGTGACAACCGGCGCTGTTCACCAGGAAGCGGATGGTTTTGATGTCGGGTTCGGGCTTGTCTGAGCAGCAGCAGGTTTTGCACATCCCAGCCATGCACAGCAGCAGCGCAAACGAGCCGAACATCAGGCCGATAGGGAGGCAGAACTGCAAGAGCCGCAGGTCCAGCTGGTCCACTTTAGAGTACCACTGGAACATTAAAATAAAAAAAATGATTAGGATCATTTAAGACACAAAAGTGACAAAAAAAAACAACAGATGAGAGAAAAATACCTCTGAATCATAGTAGTAACATCCCGAATAGCCGTCCTGCTTCACACATTTAGCCCACAGCCCATCATACACGCTGATATTCTTGGCGTTGCGATTGAAGGTGACGAGTCTGGTTATGCGCCACTGTGGGATTACCGCCGCCACAACGATCCCACCCACGGACACAAAGGCGATGATGAAGGAGAAAGCGTTGGTGGCGTGGATGTCCCGGCACGACATGGCTGGCTGCTGCTGCTGCTTGATGGGAACTGAGGCTGCTTCCTGGATAAACACAGGAAGGCAGACAGAACGCAGCGGCTGCTCAGTCCAAAGGGAATCGGATGGTGAATAATTCTTTTGCATGCACAACTCCTGGAAAAAGGCTATAAAAGTTTATGTGAATGGCCCCGTTACCGCTGAAGTGAGCTAACTGTGCCACAGGCTGACCTAGCTGTGGGCTACCCCCCTGTATCTCTATTCACCACAGCTTAGTTGACCCAATATCTGCCGTCCCCGAGAAACAATGCTCTCATTTCATCAGCAAACAAAGTGGGAATGACTCGGTGGCTGAAGCTGCGGGGCGAGACTGTCTATACAGCAGTGCATTACAGAGACTGCACAGCTCAACAATACGCAGTTATATCAGAGGCTTTGTTTAAATGACAGCGACTGACCACTGCAGTGAAACGTCATTTATTCAACAGCTCTTTGGTTCGCAGGCAGATTGAAGTCGTGTTTATGAAGCACTTTAGGGGTTAACTCCTTCTGGTATTTTTCAAATGATCAGTCTCAACACTTTATTTCCCTCCTTTATTCTCAGTAATTGTCATAATTTAAAAATGTGTTTCTTTAACTCTAAAGCAGACACCTCTCTTTATGTGTAGTCACCACCAAGTACAGCTGATTGACTGGTTAGGCTTGGAGAAAAATAAAAATAATCAGTCTTGCTAAAAATGAAATTGCTGAAATGTTAATATCACCTCTATGACAGTAAATATCTTTGTGTAGTGGACAAAACATTTGTCTTTGAGATATACACTTAAAAACATTTTCTGGTATTTGTAGACCAAACAACGAAGCAATTAATTGAGAAAATAATCAGCAGTCGACTGGAAATAATTAATATTTGCAGCTTTAGTCCAAAGTGCTCTTATTTTAATAAACATTTGTAAAACATGAAGGCGTTCCAGAAAAGCTACGCATGGAAAGTTGTGTTATTCTACATTTTCATGCAAGGTTTTTTATTTTTACTGCAAATGTACATTAGTTCCAAATCGTGGTTATCAGTCTTCTTGATTACTCATAATCGATATCAACCCCAGAAAAAAAAATAGAAGTTGAGCCCTTCGTCTAATGATATGGTTTTGACAAGTGAATATTTGTGCAGTTCTAGTTAAGGCTGAGTTATGCGCCAGTAGAGCCATTAAATTGCAATTATTTTGCAATATGAGTCACGATCTTAGTGGTAATGATTATTTTGGCACTTTTTTTTCACTGAAACAAATACTAAAATCATCTCATTTCTTTTGTGGCAGTCAGTCTGCACCAAACAGGCACCACAATGCTGCATTTTTAATCACACATTTCGCCCTTAAAATAAAAAAAAAAAACAAAACAAAACATTTAAAAAGTGGCTCCTGTAGTTTGGATATTGCACTTGACTGATGATGTTTAGTTTAAATGTTCAGCCCTGCTTCTATTATGTCTTAACTTTTTGTGTTCATTTCATTCAGCCTCATTGTTGTGCTCTTTGTGTAACTTCTGATTAGCTTTTATTACATTCAAATGTCAGATATCAATATTATCTGTAACCTATTTGTGTTTGCATCTTGACCAACCTGTAAAAACTGTAAAGCAGTGGCAGGTGCTCAAACAAGATAACTACTAACTGTACAGACAGCAGACATGCTGTAAGTTTAGGTCAGTTTAGTGGAGATAATATGAACCATAACAGAGTAATAACAGGCCTCTAACCAGCTGTTATTACATCCACAACAACAGCACAGCAGCTAGCTAGCTAAGCTAACTATCGATAGTTTTACCAGCCGCCTCAGGTTGGCTGTGTTAGCCCACTGGGTGGTAATATCTGTAATCAATACCTGCCTTAATTAACAAATGTTTTCGGTCAAATCGATTACCTAACTGTGATAAATTGAACAACAAATGTTTAAACGCTAACGAGTTAGCCAGCTAGCTAACGGCTAACAGTTAGCATTACAGTAACCTGTTGAATGTCGACCTTCTTTAAAATGGGAAGAAAAAAAACCTCAAACTGAAACTAACTGAATCGAGCAGAGGTCACGGTACCTGGTGTTTCCAGATGTTCCGCGGTGTTTACAGTGAAGATGGAAGCATGTTTCGGTCCTCGGGTACAGACTCGAACACGACCCGGAGCTCGGCCGGTTACAGTAGCTGGCAGGAGGCCGCGGGGAGTCTCCGCCCTCAGCGCTGCCTCACAGGAAGTCTGCGCTGCAAAAACCTGATCAGTTTGTGTGCATCTACAGCTGATTGTATGTGGATCAGACAGCTTTAGCATGCATAGCACGTACTTGGATCTGTGGTGACAGCAAAGGTTTATCCATGTGAATGTTTTCTTGTAACTGAATAGCTATGACCAAAGGAAATTGCAAAATAATCAGGCCTGATGTTTAGGATCATACCAGAGATGCATTGAATAATCAGTCACTTTATCAGCTCTTAAATTTGTTACCAACTTTATAATCATTGATTAATTGGTTTGAGTCATTTTATTTATTTATTTCTTTGAGAAAAAAGTCACAATTGTCTAATTCCAGCTTTTTAAATGTGAACCTTCTGCAGTTTCTTTCATTCTTTATGCCAGTAAACTGAATCTCTTTGGGTTGTGGAGAAAACAAGACATATGAGGATGTCCTCTTGAGCTTTGATTGACAAGTTTCACCATTTTCTGAGATTTTATAAGCCAAAGGACGAAGTCAAAGTCAACTTTATTGTCAGTTCTGCCATATGCACAGGAAACAGAGTTAAAATGTTGTTTCTCTCAGACCCTTAAAAAGAGGAAGTGCAATTCCATCAAAACCAAGACAACAAATGCAAATTATTAGAACAGATTAGACAGAATCTGAATTTATCTTCACTCGGTTGCTGATTAAACTATCAGCGCAGACATATTTTATACATTCCCAGGTTTCAGCTCAGGTGATTCGAGCTGTTTTACTCCCAGATGAGCTCATTTGTTCTGTCCACAGATAAAGTAAAACCTCTGTTGTTACACCGTCCAGACTCTCGGGGGACTCGCTCTTTGACCTTGTGGATGAATCCATTTGCGCACGATGCAGGAAAAGTCAGTGAAAGCCAGAAACTCCAGCACTCGGCTGATTAAAATCCCCCTTTTTGTGTCTTTCAGGGAGACGTTCGCATTCACATGATCTACAAATCTGCAGGCCAAGAGATGCTCAGCGACCTCCTCGGCGGTGAGAACTTAACGAGCAATTAATATTTATAGGAGCAGAAGTGCTGTTTGGTTTATGCGACGTGCTTTAATTCACATTAAACATTGAAAGTGTGTTTTTTGTGCTTCCTGAATGTCAATAATAATTAATATTCCTGTTTGCCAGGTGACCTGCCGGAGCCGCCTTTCCCCAGCCCTCCGTTTCCAGGATCCAGAGTCGTGCACAGGAGGAAAAAGAGACAAGTATGAGTCAGCGTTCACATCTTGTTGATATTTTGAAGCACTAGCAGTGTTTCCTCCAGTATACGTTCCTTTAACTGCTTTAACATATCGACTGCTAGTTTATTATCCAACTCAGTCCACTGTGATGCTGTTTTGATCAGTTAATGCTGTTTTATCTAAATGTAAAATGTGTATCTGGACACTTACATGGATATTTCCTTTAAAAAATGTATGATTTATTATTTATTTGAGCTCATTTATTACAAGCTCTTTTTTTAATTTTATGGCTGATAAGATAAGATAAAACTTTATGAATCTTGAAGAAATTCTTGTGCCAAATATTTCTTGATTTTTTTAAATTTATAATATATTTTTAATCAGTTTGTTCTTTTAACTAGTCCTGCTCGTAAAGTTATTCCTGACTTTTGAAAGTTTTATTTTCCAACACAGTCCAGTGTGATATTTTTCTGTGTGGATTTGTTTTTGTAATATTTATGGATCAGTTAAAGCTATTTGATCTAAATTTAAACTAATCGTCTGGATAGTTATGTATATTTTTCCTTCATTTTTTTATGATTTAAACTTTTTTTTTCTGAGCTGTTTTTTTTTGTGATTTTCTGACTTGTAAGATAAGATCTTGTGTTTTTTTATGTTAATTCACAAAGCAGGTGCAGCTTTCTTCTCCTTCTTCTACTTCTTTTACCTCTTCATCGTCTTTTTTTCATGAAATATTTATCTGCTGCTCCTCAGACAGTCAGATCTCTCCAGCTGTCTCTCACAGCTGCTCTCATGTTTATTTCCATCAGACCAACCCAGTTTAGCTTCACAGAGTTCAGGCTTATTGATTTCTTTTATTTTCCTTCGTGACGCAGGAGACGTGAGTTGATCTTTGTCTCTGCTGTTCTTCCTGCTTGATATTTAAAGTCTGTCAGTCTTTGTGATGAAACTCTCGTCTCTCTTCAGGCTCCACAAGCTTCACGAAGCGTCGAGGACGAGACCAAATACATCGAGCTGATGGTGATCAACGACCATTTAATGGTGAGGATGGACATTTATTAGAGGCTGTGTGGAAAGTGATATTTAGAACAATTTACTGTTATTTTAATAACTTTCACAGTTTTGGTAAATTAAGGATAGGAATCTATTACAATAAAAAAAGATATTAATTTACACATAACCCCCCCCTCACCCACCCAAAAAAAAGGAGCCACAACTGTGAATAATATCAACATAAAAAGTCATTAGTTTTACAAATGGTGCAACATTTTCACTGAAAATTACACCTTTTTTTTCTTCTTTTTTTTTTTTTTTTAAAGAAAAAAAACTTATAACAAAAAACTCCCAATAATTTTACAGATATTTGCTGTTATTTGAAATAATTATTATTTATGTAAGGGACTTAAGACTTTTATTCAATGTTTCCTGTATTTTTACAAATGGTAATTTGTTCTTCATGTTTGCCTGTAAAATTACGCAATTTTTTGCTGCATATCAATCTGCAAAAAAAGTTTTTTTTTTTTTGCAGTTGGTTGTTTTTTTTTTTTTTTTAAAGATTTTTTATGTGTATTTATTTATGCTTGTTTTTTTTTTTCTTTTTTTTTGTCTTTCCCTCCCGTGTCTTTTTTTTTACAAATTTTAATTTGTTCTTTTATAATATTTGAGTGTAAAATTAATCTGTTTATACTTTATTTGATGTAACAGTTGAGTATATTGGTGGAACAATAGATTCTGATTTGTCATGTGACTGTCCTGGTTGTTACTGTCTAAAAGGCCCAAATGGGCTGGACACATGTGGTGCATGACACTCAAACAGATCAATCGATCAATCTTTATTGGAGTTTAACAACCTCCTGGGCACTGTACTTTTATTAAACATCCCTAAGACAAGATTAACGCTCACTGGGAGAAAAAGCGGGCTTTAAAAACTATGGATCGGCTCTTTAAATTGGCCTGTTTACATTTTTACAACCTCTGCAAACTCAGCGTTTCTCTCTCCACTCTGCACATCAGCTGTAGAAAGATGTTTTCACCATGCTGGATGTATCTTCCAACAACTTGCTCCTCTGTTCACTGTTTCTGAGCTGCATTTATTTTATTGACCCAGTAGGTTTTATTCTCCTCTCTGCTCTGTTGAAACACTGCCTGCAGTTAATCTGAGAACTCACTGAATTTCTGTCGCATAATTGTTGGTCACAGCTGGATCACTAATGGCTTCACAGTTGCAATGAGGAGCAGAGAATTTTTAGTTTTTTACAGAATCTTGATCGTACAAGTTGTTGATTTTTGGCAAATTTTTTGAACGATATGGTGAAGAAATATTATTTTGAGCACATCGCATGTGATTAGTTCAAGGACAGTTAGAAATTTAAAACTCATTTTCTGTTCTTTCAGTTTTTGCAGTTTGTTGCTTTGACAATTTGTATAATTTTTTAAAAACATAGCTTGCCGATCAAACCAGTGGATATTCTGGGTTCAGGGGGTTGAATAGTAATATTTAGATGTAAAAGCAGATCAGTAAATTGTTGGTTTTGGAGCTTTATGAGATTTTTTGAAAGAAAAACAGAATATTAGCAGCTTGATCCTTAGTGCAGGATGCCAGATGAGTCAAAACTGTAAACACTTTAAATGCTGCCTTTATTGTGCTTTTAACAGTCGGTTCTGATCCAAATGTACCACATTACTATCCACTGGGTTGGGTTTGTTTAGTTGCTTGAATGTGCAGGCTGACGCTCCTTTTACGCATTCAAATGAATTCATTCCAGATTGTTAATCCTTTCTGTGTCTCTTTCCCTTCAGTACAAGAAGCACCGGCTCTCCGTCGGCCACACGAACAACAAAGCGAAGACAGTGGTCAATATAGCTGACATGGTAAGAACCGTATTGATCCTCTTCTTGGAAAGCTCGCCACCGTCGCTCCCAGGTATCTGCAGCTGAGCGCGGATTGCACTGATTTCTCATTTAAACCAACTCTGCATTCAAAGCCTTCGCAGGCCCACAGCGAGCAGCCGTTAACCAGCCGCTTAGCAGTTTTCAGACATCAGAGGACCTGAAGGCAGCAGCAGCAGCAGCATCTGGGATATTTCAATGTTTGATTATTTGTAGCCACGTCTGTGTGCTGTGTTACTGAAATCCGAGCGGCTGCAGGGTCACGTCCGTAAGCTGATCGGACGCTGGAGCTGGAGATAAAAGGTCACGCCGTTTGCTGTGCCCTTGAAGATGATCATATGAAGCGGGCTGGGTTTGGGAAGGACGCATCGATTTCTACTGAGCATGCTCGACAAAATTTACAACATCTGCACGTGTCATCGTCGGTACAACATGCTGGTTTTTTTGGATAAAGTCATGATGGACGTGAGCTTAATGGCATTTTTATGCACTTATTTGTTCTGCGAGCGAACTGGAGATTATTATTACACAAGTGGGAGGAGATATTTTAGAGATCCTGCAGTAAAATCCTGTTTATCTCATACAAAGACGCTGTCAGATGAGTGGCATTTAGAGCGCTGCCAAGGACTGGAGGGGCAAGAAATCCTTCCAGTTGAATCATCGATGCAAACAGTGAGCGACGTGTTAGAAAGTATGAAGATCTGTGATTTGGAAAAGGAGGATGGCACCAGCCTGAGTACAGGAAAACGCTCAGAGGGGTCCTGTCAGGAAGAAATATTCAATCACAAATGAACAATTCAATGTGGAACTTTGAAAAGTATCCGCAATGAACATCCATACTTTTATAAATGATCATCTGTTCTTTTATGGTGTTTGACTTTAAAATTATGTTTATTCTGTATTTCAATGAACAAAAATATTTTTTTTTGTTAGATATTAGCCATTATTTAAAAGAAAAAATTAAAAACTGTTATTTGACATATTTTCTATGTTTTGTTAATGTACAGATAAAATGTAATAAACCACAAAATAGCAAATTATATCATATTTATTTTATTTTAATCATACAGTCATATATTTACATGAACTCTATTCCACAGTTTAACATGTTTTCTCAAACACTCTTGCTGCCTAATAGTTTTTTTAACAGTGTATTATTAACTAAATTTACACATTTATTTTTTTTTTTTTATTTATTTTACAGTTTTTTTTACATTAAAATGACACAGACTTACAAATCAGCATAAAATTTACAATTCTTTCAAATATTTTCTGTCTTTTGAAAGAAATACATATAAGAAATGACAAAATAGTAAAACAAACCAAAGTTTCATGTTTTTTTTAGTGTACAGATAATATCTAGTAAACCAAATGACACTTTATTAACTTTATTTAAATCAACTGTAAAAAGCATCCACATTAAATAAATGTACTTTAAAAAAATAAAAATGTTTGACATTAAAATGACACTGATTTGCTGAATCTAAAGAAGTTGTTTTTCAGATATTTGTCATCATGCGAAAGAGAATTTGTATAAAGACTGAAAAATGGTGAATTATTTTTTCCACGATTATTTTACACATTTTCCCTTTTTGTCAGTGTTCAGATTTCACAGAGAATATCCAGTAAACCAAAGAAATACACATAAAATTTCACTGTATATAAATAAAAGGTATTCAACACTTGTATACATATATCTTTTTTTTTTTTTTTACAGTGTAATATTTACTACAAAATGTACAGAATATACACTTCGGTTTTCTGTCCATAACCAGCATGATGTTCAGAAAGCAGCACAGCTCTGGTGCACGCTGACCATCTGAAGGTGTTTTTAGTCCCTTCACAGCCTCATCGTTTTATTATTTATTCTAATATCTCCTCACAGATGACAAACAGGGAGGTCAGACGGGGATTAACCCCTGATCATTTGCACTCCGTCCTCTCGTCAGCTTCACATTATTGCCGTAGAGTCTACTTGTTGACGCCCCGCTCTCCTCCTCCTCCTCCTCCGGTGTTTGTCTGGCCCGCAGCCCCGGCAGATTTTCCATCTTATGAAAGCAAACATTGTTATTTACCAGCGAGTTTGCGGCCGGTTCGTCCTTCAGACTGTAACCTGTGTTGACTGTCTGCTCTCTGGTGGCAGCATCAGCTCCTGGTGATGAAGCTTTCCTTTTCCTGACGTTGACTTTTATTCGGTTTTTTGTACTTTAACTCCAGATCTTCAGGGAGCAGCTCAACACTCGGATTGTGCTGGTTGCCATGGAAACCTGGTCAGCTGACAACAAGTTCAACATTGACGACGACCCCATGGTGACCCTGAAGGAGTTCATGAAGTACAGGAAGGACTTCATCAAGGAGAAATGCGACTCCGTTCACCTCTTCTCGTGAGTCTGGACGTTTAATGCGTTTTTTCTTTAACCTGTTATTATATTAAAACCTTTTTAATGTAACATGCGCCTAATTGGTTTTTCGACAGAGGGAATCGCTTTCACAGCAGCTGGGGCGGAGCTTCCTACATGGGAGGAGTCTGTTCTCTCAGTAAAGGAGGCGGAGTCAATGAGGTGACTTATTAATTGTAAATTCAAACAACTCCAAAACTCAGTTCAGTGTTGATCACAAGTGAACTGCAGATTTTTACATCCTCATGCCAAATTCTGATTCATACACAATTTATATTCTAACAGTAGGCTTGTTCTGGCTGGAAACGACATAAAACCAACTCCTGCATCAGCTGTTCTCAGTTTGTAAACTATTAGAACGCTCTAGAACATGGTGGAAAATACAAGCAACATCTGGAATGGGATAAAAGTTGCATTTTTATTTTGGCTTTTATCGTAAAAATCTTTATGTGCAATATTTCAATTTCATGTACAATAGTACTTTACTGTTTCAATCAACACGAGTTTTACTTTTAACTTTTCT